CTGTCGCCCGAAACCGCGAGCGTTAGCCGCCATCTTGGAAACCGTTTTTTTGCATATATCTCGGAAACGGTAAGTTTCACGTTAAAAACCGAAGAGATCTTTTTTGTAGAGAACAAAATTTCCCATCTTTTTTATACCAAACTTTTCCCCCTATTGTTGATATTTTCCGATATATTGAAGTAAAAAAAACAATTTTTTTGTTTTTGTAAAGTATCTCAATAATTTTCAGAGTTACGAAAAAAATGTTTGAATTAAAGTTGGAGAGCATGAAATTTTCTACAAATTTTGTATAAAACTTTTTCTTGTAAAATGATTAGTTGCTGAGTTCCAGCTGAATAAAAATTGTCACCTGGGATCGAAAATCAGCGATGAGCGGTAATACGTTACTCTGGTATGCAAACAAAAAAGTATAATCGAAAAATTTTATCATGAAGACGGTAACGATTTTATTTATCGTGAAAAGGAGGGAAATGAAAGATTAAAAAGGAAATTTTGCACAATATTGGAAAAAGGAATGAAAATTTATTCATGTATTCAAATTCATTATCATTTGCGCGATATAAGTCGCTGTTTACAAATCAGGATCGCAGAATATTAATTTAATAAATTGTATTTGATAAATTATAATCGTCGATGTTAGATTTATAAAATTTTTCGCTGTTTACAACCGGAAGGGCGATTTATGAAGGTTTGCGAATTTTCTTCTTCCAAGTCCATGTTACCTGCATCAGAAGAATGTATGATAGATTCATTCGGTGTATCCTCCTCGTCGCTGTCGTCCGCGGCCGGAGTTGAGTTATCACATGTTTGGCCACTACAATTTGAACAAATGATCGATCATACTTTACGCGGAGACATCGAATTTACTTATACTTTTTGTTTGCATGCGAGAGTAACGTATTGCCACTTACCGCTGATTTTCATGATCTTTTATTGCGCTAGAACTCAGCAACTAATCATTTTGCAAGAAAAAGTTTTATACAAAATTTGTAGAAAATTTCATACTCTCCAACTTTTATTCAAACATTTTTTTCGTATCTCCAAAAATTATTGAGTTACTAAAGTAACAAGTTGTAAACAAAAACAAAAAAATTTAGTTTTTTTACTTCAATATATCGGAAAATATCAACAATAGGGGGAAAAGTTTGGTATAAAAAAGATGGGAAATTTTGTTCTCTACAAAAAAGATCTCTTCGGTTTTTAACGTAAAACTTACCGTTTCCGAGATATATGCAAAAAAACGGTTTCCAAGATGGCGGCTAACGCTCGCAGTTTCGGGCGACAGAAACTCGGTTTTACACTTGGGGGGCACCCTCCGACATAATCCAATCGAAAAATAACGTAGAAGGATTTTATGCAGAGCGGACATCTAAAAATCTTGGACTAATATAACATAGAGGAAATAGTCACTCGCCTCCTTAAGAGATGGCGCTACCGGCGCTGCGTTCACAACGTATGGAAGCCTACAACGCGCAAGAGAAATTCGGGACCAAACACTCCATATATACGATGCCCGACCAACATCAGTCGGGCCGCGGCCCCCGAGCGACCATCACCCAGCTCGGGGGAATATCTTCCCTTTGGTCTTCCTACAGCGTCACAAGGTGTTGGTCGCATTGTACTATTGGTGTCATTTACGTACCAGTATCTAAGTACGAGCAGTAATAGATGAGCTCGTTGGCGCGGGTGGTTAGCGCGTTCGGCTGCGATCGTTGAAGTTAAGCAACTTTCGCAATGGTCGGTCATTGGATGGGTGACCAAAAATCTTCTATTTCTCATTCCTCCGTGCTTCGGAAGGCACGTTAAGCCGTTGGTCCCGGCTGCATCTGCAGTCGTTAGCACCCGCCAATTCGCATTGGGCCCGCGTGGTGGGTCATGGCCCAATCTCCCTATTCCATTCACAGGGAAGGCCTGTGCCCCAAAAGTGGGGAAATTAATAGGCTGATCATAATGATGATAAGGTATAATAATAATCGTTTGAATAATTCACGTTTTCGTAACATAGTCTTGTATTGTACGTTTCAGTTTTCCAATCTTTTATTTAATAAATTGATACATAAACAAAATCAGAATTGAAAATACTATTGTATATATATATATACATATATAGATAGGCCTTTACACTAGTAATATCTAAATTAGTTACAAATGTGCGGTACTCTCACAAACTTGATATAAATAGGTAAATTATATACTAAATTAACACTCACGGACATTGTCACATTGAAATATATGAAAAAAAATATTAGTAACTATTTTATATTTATTTTGAAAAAGTCCCCAAGTGCTCACATATTATTAACTCGACTGCATATAAATTATTTTTGCATAACCAATACAAAATACGATGTGTCATGTATGTACAGTCAGCAAACACATCAAAATAAGTATCACAAAAGACATGGCTAAGAAACTGCCCTTAACGTGTATAAATATTTCGCACTAGCCTGTAATTTTACAATATTTTTTTATAAATTATTACGTGTTTATTAATATCATACAACTTTCGTGAAATAATCAAATATTTAAAAGTATAAAAATTGACTTACAAGTCTGTTTCAAAAGCAAAATGTTCCGTTTTACAAAATAAATGAACACAAAAAATATTTGTGTAAGTATATCGAAATAAACAATATTATTTCTAAACTCCTTCAAAATATGACATATTTGGCCCTTAATTTTTGTTACAACAAATCACGGAAGGCCTAAAATAATAGATTTTATTATTCTGAACAGGCTTGAGACAAGGCTGTATGATAATTAATCCTTTAATTTTTGCAAATGGACAAAATAAAACTTCACAGATTTCCTGTCAGGCCGAAGATAACAAATTATTTGTATTTCTTTTTGCTTTAAAAAAACTTTTTGTCAAGAGTTAATCAGAGAAATGGGAAGATTATAAGAAAATGTGAAATTGATCACTCTGTAAATAATTGTCAACATCTTTTATCAACTGTAGTAAGGTAATGACATAGTAGGAGTTCTCATAATTTTCAAGATTGTGATTTTTTTCATAGAAATTATAAATACTTAGCCATTTACCATTAACTGTTAATAAGTACAGTATTTATACATTGCCAGGGCAGTCGCTCATACAAAACTTTACCACGTCCTTTCTCAATTGATAATGAATCTTAAACCAATATAGAGCTCAAAGAAAAAATTATAGATATTATATATTATCATATTATTTATAGAGGAAAAAAAACCGGTCGACGACATTTCAGACGGGACTCGAACCCGCATCTTCAACTACCTAAGCGGACGCACTAACCAATAGGCTATTTGACAGTATCAAAAATAATGCACCAATTGTTGGCATCTGTATTTGATATGAATATTAGCAGCGATTTTATTATTCTGAAAGAACAAAAAAAATGTGTGCGTGTACTAGTGTACACACGTAAGAAGTGAAACTTCTTTATGGCCTTATTTTTTTCGAAAAATGATCTACATGCAACTTTCCAGAAATATATATATAGGCGTGCGCTAAGATTTTTCAAAAACTCACCCACTAAAGGGGTATAACTACACCTTACCTTACCTTACCTTACCTTACCTTACCTTACCTTACCTTACCTTACCTTACCTTACCTTGTGTGAAACACGAATATTTGCTGTCGATACTTTTTTTTTTAAAGTTGACAGAAGAACCAATGAGGTAAATAGTGCTCTTTTGGAAAAGATGGCGCGTAACCAAAAAACGTGAATTTTTTTCCAACGCCGATAAAGAAGTTTCACTTCAATAATTCATAACTTTTCTTTGGTCACGTGACCAAAAACACTTGGGATTGGCCAAGACTGAAATGACGTCACACGCTAGTAAACTTCCGGTTAAAGTGACATTACAATGTATCGTTTGACGTTTTGACACTAATGAGACGCCATAATTACAGCAGAAACATTTTCGGGGCAACTTGAAAATTGAATTTTTAATTTAGCCTTTTTTTACTGAATTACACAACAGAATTGAAAGTATCTACTTTATATTGACTCAATAAACATTAGTAAATGACGTTAGATCGTTTTCTAAAACTTTTGAAATACTATTATGCTACCGAGACGGACAGCGGAAGATTCGGGTTCGAATCCGGTTTCAAACCGGGACAACTTGACCTAAGGCTGACCATACACACAGTCGGATTTCAGTCACTCGCACTCTTAAATACAATTATAAACAACTTACTCACTTTCAAAAACTAAATCTAACCTTTATATAAATTATTATTTATTGAATAATATATCATTGCTATTATAATTAAAAAAAACTTCATTATTTTCACACTCGACAGTGTTGCCAGATCGTACCGCTATTTCTACCGCCGCCATTTTGGCAATGGTTCCGTTTCCGCCGTTTTTTTCGAATCTATTGTAACAACCTCTATTTTGTCACTCATTGTGATTACACCATACATTCCTTAACAACCTAAGTATTGATTTATGAATTAAGTAATTTAATTTCCCGTTGGGTTCAATAAAAGTTTTCCATAAAACGAGAAATACCACTTTTTTATTTGTCAATTTCGCTTTTTTGTTACTTGCCTTATAACGTTTTTACGGATCCTTTTTTTTATATAGAGGTAGGCAAATGACTCATCTCCACCTGATGTTAAGTGGTAATAAAGTCCAAACGCGAAGATAGCTGGTACAGCAGTTATAAACTGCTACACCAACCATCCTCACCTTGCCGGCCTGCAAAAATGCTTCTTCACGCCTCTCTTAAAGGACCCCAGATTATAGAAAGGAGGGAACACTTGCGCGGGTAAAGAATTCCACTTACGAATAGAACGACAAAGAAATGAGTCACCAAATTTCTTTGTTCGTGTAGGAATAGGGTTCTATTGACGTCACTCTGTCTTCTGTCTGTCTATCTGTAGAGCTCGTTGGGTAGGACATAAATCTATTTTTTTAATTTTTAAACATTTTAAGCATTTGACTACTTGATGTTTAAATCTAAAGAAAACTTTACTAGAAACAAAAAAATATTAAGAAAAAAAAATTAAAAACAAAGGAATAGGGATCTGTCAGAGTGTCAGTTTTGTACCCTATTTTTTATGGGGTCTATATCAAAACGGAAACTATTTAGGAATGTGAAATTTTGATATACAATATCCCATATCATGCTGTATTTAAACCACAAACACTGATCACGCCGATTCACTATGTACTTTGTAAGTAACCCCTTGCGCTTGTCCGAATCGCACTTGGCCGGGGATTTTTTTTTCGTCTGGCAACACCGATACACAACAACGGCCATCTTGTTTCATCACAACACTAAATCACTCGTAGTACGTGTTTATATCACTGTCACTTTATTCACTGTTATTTGTACACAATCGTAATGTCTATTCCCCTTTTAGTCTTTTACTGAACTCCTCCTGTTGTAGTTCGCGCCATTCTTTCTTCGCCTTCATTCTTTTCAGCTGGCCGTCCCTGGAACGACAATATTCGGTTAGATTCTCTATTGCAATGGTAAGGATAATTTAAGGAGCACTCCCGCAAGCAGGCGCGGTCGCAGCCTGAAATTTTGGAGGGGGTCGCTCACTGTACTAGTAAAAAATAGGTATCTGGAATAAAATAAACATTATTGCACAAGACACAATTTAGTTTATACATTACTTATAAAATATTGTTGTACAATCTTTATCATAACGACGCATATCGATTATGTCATTTCCAAGTTATTTTGGACATCGTACGTAGTTCATAAAAACACCACTAAATGTCAACAAACTATAAATTTATCGCTGTTAGGAGAAAGCTAGAAATTTCCTTTTATTATTTGGCAAATTTTTGAAATTTTTCAATTTGACCTTAGATTTTGGGGGGGGTCATGTCCCCTGTGACCCCCCCCCCCCCCCCTTCGGACCGCGCCTGCCCGCAAGCGTGGCATACGTCAAACCACCCCGTCTCCGGCCGACAGCCCGGTGCGCACCCGCTTTAGCCGATCCTGGGCTTCTTCGTGTTCACAGCGACACCTGACTAGTCTCACACTAGTCTCACCAGCTCCCATGGAGCACCCCCACTGGAGACCGCATCACACAAATTTTGTTTGAAATCAAAATCGCCAATGTCGGCGGGTGCGGGCAGGGAGTCGCGTTTTGATCGGACACATCAAGGTCAGATGATAATAATAATAATAATAATAACTTTATTGCTTAAAAACTGTGTACAATTATGCAGTTGGAATTGCAATAGTAACATAGTCACAACAGTGTGCCCACAACGGGCATGCAATGGTAAAATTTATAACTTAAAACTATCTTAATTTAAAAATTACATTTTAGAGCCTAAATTATATTAAGTTTTACAAGTATAATATTCATCAAGATTATAAAAAACATTATTTAATAACCAGCTTTTTAACTTAAATTTATATACTCGGTGCATCGAAGTGATAAGGGTATGATCGATTAAAAAAAATATCGATACTTTCTGTCGATAAGCAATTTAGTATGGAGGCCTTTGTTGCGCGAGTGTAGACATGCCACCACTTTTTTCCAGCGTTCCTTTTAAAAGACGCGACCAGTTAACGAAGTTTGGCGAGCTTCACGCATACGTAAAATTCTACTTAAGCTTGGCGTAAGCGGTTGACCTTGTATGCGGACTCCAGTGGGGGTGCTCTATGCCAGCTCCCCTACCTACGGTAAACGAACTCCCCGATCTACCCCTCACCCTCCCGGCGTAACTGCGGGGTCCAGATATGAGTCGCCGCTTGTCACGCCTGGGTTCCTATACCTTCGCGATGGTGCCGCGGAGCACCCCCTCCCTGGCAGTTATAGGTTGCTTTCCAATTGCAGCATTATAGCGCATTATGCGGCATAATGCTTAACGTTGAGTGTTCCAACTACAGCAACGCTTCGCACAATCGAGCACTCTCAAAAGTGATGCTTTCGTGTGATGCGTGCAATCGTACCAACTCAGAGACAGAAAATTAACAAGTGTTTTTTCTTTAAGTTGACATTGATCGAAATGTTTTATTTATGTTATCATTAATGATATTATTTATTGTTGAAAAATTATTAAAACTTTCGTTTCATTAAATAGTTTTTGAAGTTATACTTCTTTAGGCGCGTTATGAAAAAATGATGAGAGTGAAATTTTAAGATGCGCGCGCATCACTGTAACACAAAATTTTAACTTTTGTGTTTACCGCACATTAAGAAAATCTACCAACAAAATAGAAATAGAATCTCTATTTAGTGGGTGCTAACGACTGCATTGTGAAGGCCTATCAAAAGTATTTATTAATCTGGAACAACGGAACCAAAGCGCGATTCAGGAGACTACAGCGCCATCTCTTGACCATTGGTGTAGTAGAACCAAAAACCACATCTTTATTTTTTGTAATAAAGTAACAGTTATAGGTATTCATATTTATAATATTTATCCACATGTTTCTAGTTTGTATATTCGGAATACGTGTTTGAGTTTCATACAAGTGCAAATCACATATGTTCTAATAAATTATATTCAGTAGCGATTTTAATTGAATATTTTGATTATTTATTTATTTTTTCAAATTAAAACTGAACTTTATTGACTTCGTCCTTTTCCAGACTTTTTATTAATTTATTGTAATTAATTATTTGCATGCAATTAAAAACTAATTTTAAACGATGCCAAAGAAGGATAACTTCTCACGCGCCTACATAAGTACACGCACCCCTTTTTTTTTTAAATAATCAAAGTTCATTCAGACTGTTAAAAAATAAATATAAATATGGATGAAGGTACAAACATTGATTTTTTTTTTCAACACTGAATTTAGCGCACTCTGCTGGTGCATTTGAAAACTAATTCACGTTCCAATTAAGCATCAGCATAATTGGGCATTGTGCGGCACTGAGTCGCATTATGCTCTGTAATTGGAAAGCAAGCATAGGTTCCGCTAGAGGACTAGCAGGCGGGCTCGGCGTCGCCGACCAGGGGGCCAATCGCCTAACGGAAATGCTTTGGAAAACGCTAACGCTTACGATTTTATTTTGTTATTTCTAGCCGCCTGAGGTATTCAAATGCCTCGCGCTCTTTCTTTTTCTTTTGCATTGGTAATAACAATATTATTAAAAATGAGCGTGAGGTATTCGAAAACCTCAGGCGGCTAGAAATAACAATATAAAATCGTAAGCGTTAGCGTTTCCGAAAGCATTTCCGTTAGGCGATTGGCCCCCTGTCCTGCCCCTCCTGCGTCGAAGAGAGTTCGCGTGGGCTCGTTCCTAGCGAACTCTCTCCGCCGCCTCCTTCCGGGAGATGACCTCCTCACAGAAGGAGGAACAGATCAATGTCTATCTAGAATACACGACCGTCACTGAAATAATCTCTTTCTCTTAAATTAAATTCTCTAAAACTAAGTTATGTCACTAAAATGGTCGTCTGTAAGTAAATAAAACGTTCGTCTTCAAAACGAGCGTCACCACAATGAGTGTATCTCACTAATATTGACTAGTCTGTCACTAAAACTCAAGTGTATTATAAAAAAAGGTTGATATCTTACAAAACATCATAGTGTGTTCCTAAAAGTAGACACTTTTAGAACTTCTCCTGTAAAATCATCTTACAACTGACCACGAGCCCGTCCCGCCAGGCCACTCGGGCCTTGACCCGGTTGTCGAAGGTGACGACGCTCTCGTCCTTAGATTAAAACAAAAAGGGTAGATACGGCACTAGCCTCACAAAAGTGATCCGCATAAATTGTGGTCCACGACCCTAATCGCTTTAGTCACAACTTGACATACAAACGACGTACATGTGAACGACAAAAAGAAATATTGCTAATATTTTGTGTTTATATGATAAAACAATGCCTCATTGTGTTTTTAAAAAGTGCTTAAATTGCTCAAGAATTAAAAATAAAACCCACGGCATCACTTTTCATTCGTAAGTACTATAAAAAAAAAAATTGCTGTTTGTTTCGAATCTTATTCGGTAGTGACGTCGAGTGCTGGTCGCGTGATTGGTCGGTAATGCAGTGACGCGGATCTCGTCGTCCCGTTCCCGCTGCCGTGGGATCAGTTTTTGTTTGATGCAAGTATGAGCGTATCGTATGTACCTTTTTGTTTTAATCTAAGCTCTCGTCATGTATATGTATACATGTATATATGTATATATGTATACATGTATACATGTATATATGTATATATGACTCACCACTGCAGGTCGACGAGCCCCCCCCGCCGGGCCACGACCGCCTTGACCCGGTTGGCGAAGGTGACGACGCTCTCGTCATGTATATGTATATATGTATATATGACTCACCACTGCAGGTCGACGAGCCCCCCCCGCCGGGCCACGACCGCCTTGACCCGGTTGGCGAAGTCGACGGCGGACTCGTGGGTGTGTCGGTGCATGGGGGGCAGGTACCACACGTCGCACACGATGGCCCACGACGTCATCATGTTGAGCAGGTAGTGCAGCATGCCGTACCGGGAACTGTTCCAGAACGCGTCGCCGAAACGTGGGTCGTATCTGTGCGAACGTTACAATCGTGGAAACATCTTTTGGCGCACGTAAAACCGATTTCTGGCGTGGCGATGCTCGCTGATCGGTACCCCTAGCACGAACAATTATCGAATTCGAATAGTTTGCAAACCGAAATGTCAATGTCAAATTTTGTATGGAAACTTGAACAGCAGCGGCACAAAGTACTTAATGAGAACTAAAAATCAGTACACATTTGACGATGACATTTCGGACTCGCGATACGTACGGCGCCGGCACTCTTCGAAGCATAACCTATGTCATTTTTTACCGCACGCATCTTGAGCAATTCTCCGAGTGTATTTATCGTAAACCGGCTAGTGTTTCACATCTGCCAGGACGCCTGGCAGATGTGAAACGCTAGCATAACGACTCACATTTTTTTTAACATATATTGATTTTAAATAAAACAAATTTCAACGGATTAAATGCTCTGATTTTATTTTTTTATTGACGTTTTGCATCCTTTGCAGGAATACGTCGTCGGAATAAGGCAAGCGATGCGAATCGTCAATAAATAAAATCAGTGCATCTAACACGTTGAGGCTTGTTTTAACAAATAAATATTTTGATTTTGTTAGAAATTGACATCATGATAAAAATTATAACTATAATTGCTATTTCTTCTTCCAAATATTTAATACTCATGAAGGTATTCGTTTGACATTGTGGGTTACCTACAATGCGAAGAGAATACGCTGCCTTGCAACTTAACAGAGGCTAGAAAGAATTGGGCTGCGGCAGCATAACGGTCGGTACATTCACCTGGATAGCAAAAAGTGCGGGTTCGAGTCCCATCTGCTACCTAGTCCGCGTGGAAATTTTTCTAGTAATATTTACTTTAAATTTAGAGAAAATTCGACATTTTCTCTAACCATTCTTAAACTGCAAGACTGCACCATATCTTCTCATCTCACAATTGGCATTATTATCTATATATTTATATAAAACTCAAAGGTGACTGACATAGTGATCTATCAACGCACAGCCCAAACCACTGGACGGATCGGGCTGAAATTCGGCATGCAGGTAGATGTTATGACGTAGGCATCCGCTAAGAAAGGATTTTGATCAATTCTACCCCCAAGGGGATAAAATAGGGAATATAGGTTTGTATGAGACTTTGCCAATTTTAAACCGATCGTGCTGAGACTTTGCATGCAGGTATAAGAAGAATCATAGATGAATATCATTGTGTATAATACAAGCCTGAGAACAAAAACTGTAGTCTACACTTCTGTAAATGCAGTTCTATTTATTATTAAAAAAAACCCTGCCAAGTGCGAGTCGGACTCGCGCACCGAGGGTTCCGTACAAACCTGTAGGTATATTTTAATAATTATTAAACGAATATTTTTTACTATAAAATATGATGTAACCAAAAATTTACGGTTTTGCAATTTTTCCTTTATCTGTACTATAAGACATTACTTCGTACCAAACAAGATTCTAAGCTCACGGGAAGTACCCTGTACTGTCGTCAGCAAATAAAATCATGGGATGTTCAATAGAATTTGGAAAGTCATTTAAAAATGCATTAAAGAACAACGGTCCTAATATACTACCTTGAGGCACACCAGCCTCTACATCTCTACATAGAGACATAAATCCCCTATTTTTTTTTGTTTTGTTGTATATTGTTTCCTGTTACTTAAATACGACTCTATTAATTTAAGAGCTACGCCTCTTATCCCATGAGCCTAGAGTTTGGCCAATAGTAACTTATGATCAACGTGGTCAAAAGCACAGGTCATGTCCATAAAAATGGCACAAACATGTTGTCTTTTGTCATCAGAGGTCTTTATATGAAGTAAACTATATATGTATTGCCTTTTGAGTATTTCTATTTTTACGGAAAACAAACTGCTCATTTACCAACACATTATATTTATTTAATTGTTTGCGATGTCCTACAGGTAAATGACCTCAATTTAAGTAAATATGTTGTAGTTGGTATGGGTAGTTATGGGTAGTCATGCTCTCTTAATAGTCTCTTCGTCGGTGTCGTGTGAGGCGGGTCGTTACGTTCCCTAAAATATGGTTGAGCGAAGCGATGGCTGGTTCATGCGTCATGCTCGTGAACGGGTGCTGCCAGCGGGGATGAGTCTGCCCTAACTACTTTGATATTTAAGTTAATGTTTAGTCACACCTAATATAAATAACACTATTTGTATTTATACACATATACAATCAAAATGCAGGTAAACAATTAATGTATACTTAATCATTATGTAATGAAAGGTGACTTAATGAATCATCTCTGAAGTCATTTTTCAATTTGACGGCTCTGTAAATGATAAAACAGGGAGAAAAAACAGCCCTTGCTGAGTATCTTGCCGGTTCTTCTCAGTACAAGGTCTCCCGCCGTAGATTTACGAACCGATGGCGTAGCTTCTAGACATTTATGAGTGATTGTAACAGCCTAAACTGAATAAATGATTTTGATTATGTTTAAACTTATTCCTTGTTTAATAATAATTGTTTTATACTGACTTGATGGCGACCGGGTAGATGGTGCCGCCTACTTCGAAGCTTCCCTTCTTGAACTGCATCACGGAAGTGTTATTGATGCAGGTGCCTTCAGGGAAGATCAGGATGGGAGGGTTGCCAGGCACCGAGATGTGTTCCTTCAGTCTGCGGGACAATAACAACATATCTTCATCATTAGTTCAAAGGAAATTTTATGTCATCATCATCATCAGCCTATTAATGTCCCCACTGCTGGGCACAGGCCTTCCCTATGGATGGAATAGGGAGATTGGGCCATGACCCACCACGCGGACCCAGTGCGGATTGGTGGGTGCTAACGACTGCAGATGCAGCCGGGACCAACGGCTTAACGTGCCTTCCGAAGCACGGAGGAGCTCGAGATAATAAATTTTTGGTCACCCATCCAATGACCGACCACTGCGAAAGTAGCTTAACTTCAACGACCGCAGCCGAAAGCGCTAACCACTTGCGCCATCGAGCTCCTTTTATGTACATATACATATTTCATTTACTAGCTATAAGAGAAAGAGAGAAAGAAAATGTGCGCGCGCACTGCTTTCTCCTGCTCATATCCCCCCCTCAATAGGCTAGTTGACTCTTTTTGGAAATATGTTTTGAATGGTTAATAATTGTTCAATTAGACCGAAAAAAATGTATTGTATTTTTTTCTTACCTAGAAAGCTACAAAACTTTAATTTTAAAATAGATTTTTCATGGACATACAAAAACGCTGTCGGCCATTTTAGTCTATAGATTATTTATGGCATGATGGGAACAATAGTAAACAAACACTCGCAAGCACGTAGGATATAACCTATCTGAATTTACATTACAAAACCATGATTTCTAATAGATTTCATGATAAATATAGTAATTATCATGATTGTATTATACGAGAATAAAGAAACACATCGTTAAAGACTCCAGAAATGTTGTGGTTTCAATTTTCAAGGTTATGAATGTACCTGCTAAGTCAAAGAGTTTTGTCGTTTCTGCTTTCACAAATCCGGCGTCCACCAATAATTTAGTCAAGAAAACCAATAAACGGAAACTTTTCTTCAAGATATAAGCGTTTTTCGATATAATTTAGTCGGACGAAAGAAACCACAGTAACACGACAATGACGTTTGGTTGTTTTGCTATTATGTTGACGTCACAATCATGGTGGACAGCGTTTTTAGTGTTTATAAGCATAGACTAAAAAACTATTTTTCAAAATAAATTACTACAGCAATCTTCTAATTTTATGAAGTGAAATCGATGTATTTAGGTTCCTCATACCAAAAATTATAAGAAATAAACATTTGTGTAGTGCAATTTGACATGAGTCAACTAGCCTATTCACGTTCGCCTCGCCCGAACACACTTTTCGTAACGCGTAACACATTCGCCAGCTTACTCTCCAAGTCAAGCGTGCGTAAAGAAGTTTCACTTCAAAAAGTTAAGATATAACATAAATTTTACCTTTTGGCGACTGCGTGTCTGTCCTTAGCCTCCGACCTCTCGAACCAAATGTGGGGCGAAGCCCTCGCCAGGGCTCGCTGGAGGAGCCCTAGGAATCCCCCATGCCGCTGACCAATCTGTTAAACCGATAATAATAATAATTAATGAGAACTCATGTTCTGTTTAAAATCCCTGGCGCTAAGTTCCCTCAAATATGAAAGTAGCGATGGTTGGTTCATGCGTCATGCTCGTGAACGGGTTCAGCTAATGGGGATGAGTCTGTTGAGTGCTTTTTAATGAGGTTTGGGAAATATACCCATTTTATAATGACTTATTGGCGACCTCCGTAGCCGAGTGGTTTGTACGCCGGGTTTCATGGTGTCGCCGACTCGAGAGGTCCCGGGTTCCAATCCCGGTGGGGGCAGATGTTTGTGTGACGAATACGAGCATTTGTACTCCAGTCATGAATGTTTAATATGTATTTTATCCGTTACCCTAGTATCCCATAACAGAAGCCTTTGGGGCTAGGCTAATTGGTGTGTGTTGGAAATATTTATTTATTTTTATTTTATTCATTGTACCTTCCGAAGCACGGAGGAGCACGAGAAGAAATTTCGGTCACCCATCCTATATTCAGCCATCGTGAAAACTGTTTAACTTCGACGATAACAAAAGGTAGTTAAGATAAACATATTATATGATTTATTTTATAGAATAATAATATGGTATAATAATTAATGCAAGACGAACTTTGCCTTGATCTTATGAATAAAGGGGGCATGTTCTTAACTAAATTACATACTAATTTAACACAGATTCCCCGCAAAGCAACTTAATTAGCTAATAATGATGGCAACTTACATTTACACCCTTGCTGCACTGACGGCGGGGCGAGAGCGAAGCGAAGCGATTTTATATCGTAATACCACAAAATAGAAAGTAGCCAGAGGGAAACCTTTGGTCATCCCTTGAAATCATTAAAGTTCAGGGATAACTTTAAAATAGGTGTTTCCTTATAATATAAGCTTTAAGATGTATCTCTTCCTAATATAAATAAAAAGAAATATATTACATATTCAATCTACAAATCACCTGTCTGTGAATTTGACGAGTATTTCGACCACCTTTAAAACCATCAGGACGACTTTGTCGACTTTATCGATTTCAAGCAATACGCCGCTCACATTGGCTACGTCATTTCCGAACTTTTCCATAAAATTTCCGAATGTCGACATTACTGAGTGTCAACAATTTGGAAAGTCGACAAGCAACTCACTGCTCACATTGACCATGCTATTTCCGAATTTTTCGGAATGTCGACATTTTCGAGTGTCAACAATTTGGAAAGTTGACAATCACCTCATCGCTAATATTAAGCATGTAATTTCCGAATTTTTCTGAAAATTTCCGAGTGTCGACCTTACCAACTGTCAACAATTTGGAAAGTCGACAAACAACTCACCGCTCACATTAACCATGTCATTTCCGAACTTTTCCTAATGTCGACATTTCAGTGTCAACAATTCGGAAAATCGACAAACAACTCACCGCTAACATTGACCTTGTCATTTCCGAATTTTTCCGAATGTCGACATTTCTCTGTCTACAATTCGTAAAGTCCACAATCAACTCACCGCTGACATTAAGCATGTCATTTCCGAACTTTTCCGAAAATTTCCGAACTTTTCCGAAAATTTCCGAACTTTTCCGAAAATTTCCTCTTGTCGGCTTTTCCTCTCGTCTCTAGGCGTTCGAGTGACACTCACCAGCGAGTATCCGTTGTCGCACATGAGCACGAGCACGTCGATGGGGCTGGTGTGGTTGGCGACGCAGATGCCGCCCCGCGGCCGGTTGTGCGCGTCGTGGTAGCTGATCACCGCCGAGATGCAGCGCGACAGGAAGTTGAAGCACACCAGCGACGCGCAGCGATTGGTGCGCTGCTTCACCCCGCCCGAGGGGAGGAGCCCCACCGCCGCCGTCGTCGTCAACAACCACCATATCTGGCCGACCCACACGGATGCCCCGATCAAAGCTCCCGGTCGAGTGTCCGGAGATGACATATGGGTGAGGAAAAGTGCTGATTTCTTAGATTTTTTTCCTTATCACCACAAAAGTGTTTTAGGCCCGCGTTCGGCGCGAGTTTAAGCAAAATATATAGTCCAGTCATTATATACATTTAAAAGTGAAAATGAACCGAAAAAGCCAAATTTTGGATATCACGTGGGACGTGGCTAGAAAAGCTTAAGTTCAAATTGTCGACCAAAATAACCTTGTGCAATTTCCGCCATCTTGAAAAAACCCTTAAATTCAGTTTTTTCATCATAACTCGATTCCCCGTTGAGATACGAAATTTTTTATAGAATACTTTTTGTTGCTCTTCTCGCGATCTACAATTAAGGTCCCATGCATTTTTCACGTATCGATCGTCGTTTTCGAGATATCGATCAAAAATATCAAATATTTAGAAAAAATTTTAAGCTTTTCTAGCCACGCCCCACGTAATATAAAAAATTTGGCTTTCTCGGTTCATTTTCATTTATTTCTTTCCGACGTAATGACTGGGCTAATACTATACACCGTGTTCCTGAGGATATACGTTAACTTTGAATAAAACTTTTATAGCTCTCGTTGAACATATCGTACAAGAAAAGTGGCAGTTTAAATAGCATAGTTTTTAAGTTATTAGTGATTTCAGTTTAACCAACTCAATTGTGTTGTGAGAAAGATTCTTTATCTGTGAGATGTTGCCGCTTTGCGCAACCGAAACTATCGAACTATCGACTCTTTGTCAATGGTCATTAAGTCATAGTTTCAAAAGTCAAAATTTTAAAAAACATCGTTGACGTCAAGAAGTTTCAAAAAGTTTATGTGGGTGGACATGTGAACCAAAGTTTCAAATGCAACTTTGCCAGCTCAGGTAAAGAGTAATTCATATTAGATAAATTACATCTAAGCGTTTAGTTTGTATGAAAATAAATTTTTTTATAGAAATTGGAATTCATAAAAGTGTCCATAGTAAAAAATGATCAATTTAATAGTCTGAATAACATGCCTAAGTTAGTGTATAATTCAGGAACACGGTGTATAATGCGATTCAACTAAAAATAGGACCGACTGGACGCCATATTGTGATGTCATAGCTGTCGATTCAAAATAGGTAGGGTGAACAAAAAAAAGTTTTTATTTAATAAAACTTATTTACTAAGATTAAGTGAGAAAAAGCATCAGATTTTTTAATAACATTTATTTACTAAGATTGAGAAAAGAAACCCACCGATTTTTAATAATATATATATATTAAGACTGTGAGAAAAGACATTAATCAGAATCTAGGTCTTCTATTCCGCTCATTTCTGCATTACCGCCGGAGTAATTATGAATAATCATGCACTATTACTAGGTTACATACGAACATGCATCCTTTATGTAAACGAAAGTTTGAATTCGAGTTTCTGAACGCAACTTAAAGTGACATTTGGTTGACGATTTAGGTTATCAAACATTCATGGCCAAAGCTCAATAATTAAAAAAAAATTATCAACCGATATTAATTATCAATATTTGTTATCGTTTGTTTACAAATGTTTGGTTTTTATTCTTGATTGGCGGAGTGCTAAACAAGGGTTCCAAATTTTTTTTGCAAGCCGTACTTTTCAAGCGACATTTGACAAAATTTGTATTAAATATTTCTTAGATTTTTACGCACTTGATGTGCGTCATTAAATAAAACAAATTTCAACGGGTCAGATGCACTGATTTTATTTATTTGTTGAGTTTTCGTATCCTTTACAGGATAATTCGGACGACGCATCCTGTAAAGGATGCGAAAAGCCAAAAATTAAAAAATTAGGGCATCTATACCGTTGCAACTTGTTTTATACAAAATTTGCTTAAACAAGGTTTGAAACTGTGCCCAACTTTTTTGTGGTGAGACCCATCAATTTTGTTTTCGCCGATTAGAATTGAAAGAAGTGTTCCGACAACATTAACTTTTCATTAGATTGAAATGAACAATTTCAACGAGATAAATCAGATGGCGTAAAGATATTTCACCATATTTTATGTGAAAGAAAATTTTCAGCGTCATTACAAATAGGGGTGATGACGGGGTACAATAAACGAAATTCTATTAAGTCCGTCAGTTAGATGATAAAAAAATAATGGACACGTATTTTTTCTTTGTGCAATCAACCAAAAAATGACAAAGTTATAGCGCGTCAAAGTTTGGGAGTAGGGGCTCTTGACGTCACTTTTAAGTGAAAATTGTACCAAAACGTGACGTCATGCGACTTTTCAAATCAATTTATCTCTGCAATATTTATATTTTGTAAAAAAAGAAAAAATACGTGTCCAATACTTTTTGATAATCTACCTGATAAACGAAGAAAATAAAAATTAGTCATCATCCCTATTGCAGCAATTGACGCAAACTCTTCAATTGAAATTACCAAATAGATTACCGACAATCAGCACTTTTCATTATAAAAGTATGAAACAAATGCGAACATTCTTCATACGAGCAAACGGACAACACGATTCGATATGCATTTACAACTAGATGATTTTTCATTGGATCATGACTCTTTAAAATGACATTGAATCAAATGTTACCCTGTTAAAACATCACATAATCATAAATATAGTGGGACAAACACATTCATGCTTATATATAACACCACACCCGCCCAAAATCAACACGTACTCCGTAGAAAATAGAAGAAAAAGATACTACCAAGGAGAAACAATTGTGGACGCTCAACATGGCAACATCGATCGGGCTGGTGTGGTTGGCAACACAGAAGCCGTTGGCGTTAGGCCGGTACTGTGTATCGTGGAAATCCGTGACCACGGAAAATGCTCTCGTCATTATTCTAAAGGACATCTTGTAACTTATCACTCCCAGGTATTTCCGTATCCGTCCGGGGGGCAACAAGTTTATGAGCATCGTGTTTCCGAGCAGGGTCAGGATCTGGTGTTGCCAGTGCGTTCGTTTGGTAGTGTACGATGTTGCCAGTCGCGAAATAAGGAGAGGGAGAACGAAAATCAAATTAGTAAACTATAAGAATATATTTATACAATATATATTTCGGAAGTTATAGTTGTTTATGACGTTGGAAGTTGGTTATTACAAAGGAATATGATACAACGTTATTCAACACATTTGCAAGAAAACAGTATATTTTTCAATAATGAATGATGAATGTATGTACATAAGTTTTCATTTTATTAATATTTTATAATAAAATTCAAATTAATTATTAATAATTTTTTTATGGGATAATTGATGAAATATATTAATTTTGATAGTAGATTTTTATATTACGTAAATTCAAGAAAATTTTATTTAAATTGTTTAGATAGATAGATAACACTTTATTGTGCACACCATATTAAATATTACACACTAGGACAAAACTTAAATAGTGAACAATTGGCGGTCTTATCGCTATATAGCAATTTCTGCCAGACAACCATAGGATGGAGAGATGAAATTTAATAAAAGAGGGGGTGTGCTAATATAACAAATAAAAATAATTACAATAAAAGATTCAGGATTAAACATACTCATAAATATCTACTATGCAAGTATACAAATATTAAATGAATGAGTAGAGAGACATAAACATACATACACACATACAGTTGGAACAACACAAACAACTACTTTGAAAGGAAAAAATCTTTAATCTGCTTTTTAAATAAACCAATCGTCTGGGCACGTCTGATGTTAACGGGGAGAGAGTTCCAGAGGCGCACAGCTTGAACACAAAAAGAATATTTATAAAAGGTAGTATTATGTGATGGAGTTTTAAGGCTCAAATTCTCTGATGAGCGTAGAGACTGAGAGTGGGAGCAGTGGAGAAAACTGAAAAGCTCTTTAAGATAATTGGGATAAGAGGGATTAAACAACACATTGTAAAGAAGGGAAAGTATATGAGTATCCCGGCGACGACGAATTGGAAGCCACTTGAGTTGAGAACGAAACTGGGAAACATGATCATATTTTCTTAAACCAAATATGAACCTGATGCAGAAGTTTTGAAGACGCTCAAGTTTATTTAGCTTGTCCTCGGTAAGATCTAGATAGCAGGCGTCAGCATAGTCAAGGACTGGAAGCAATAGAGATTGAGATAGCATAATTTTAGTGGCAGTGGGTAAAAAGTAACGTAGTCTTCTTAACGAACCAGCAGACGCATACAGTTTTCGACTTACAGCTTGCAGCTGTGGCTCCCAGCTCAATGAACTATCCATTATCACTCCGAGATTCTTTACCGTTGAACTATAAGGTATGTCAGTTCCTTCGAAATTAACTTTAGGAAGAGTAGTCCAGTTAATTTGAGATAATAGTCTAGAGCTACCGACTATCATGACCTGAGTTTTGATAGGATTAACATTAAGGCCAAAAGCTTTACTCCACTCCGCAATTCGACACAGATCAACATTAGTTTTAAAAACTGCTTCTTCAATTTTTTCAAGTGGCTCCTGGCAATATATCTGTAAATCGTCTGCATAAAGGTGGTAGGAAGAAGATAAGTTAAGAGAAATTGAATTAATAAATATTGCGAAAAGAAGAGGAGATAATACGCCGCCTTGTGGAACGCCAGCAGACGTCTCGCACCATGACGAGAATTTGTCATCAAGGCGAACACGCTGCCTACGTCCATACAGATAACTGTAAAACCAGTCAATTACCGTTGGAGATATGTTAAGAGAGCGTAATACGGCTATAAGAACATCAAAATCGACAGTGTTAAAAGCGTTACTAAAGTCCAATAATGTTAGCACAGTTAGGCGACTCTTTTCCATGCCAAGTCGGATGTCATCAGTAACCTTGACCAAGGCAGTGACAGTGCTATGGCCAGGACGAAAGCCCGATTGAAGAGGATTTAGGAGATTATGGCATGTAAGGAAATTATTAATTTGTTTGTGAAGGAGACGTTCAAGCACTTTGGATAAAAAGGGAAGAATGGATATAGGACGATATTCGGAGAGGACTTTCGGGTTACGTACTTTAGGCAACGGAACAATCTGGGCATCTTTCCAAGCAGAAGGAAATGAAGCATTGGAAATAATACTGTTAAAAAGGAATGTTATGACAGGAAGGACAATGTCAAGAATTGGCACTAACATATTACGACTTATGCCGTCGCTACCTATAGCATTAGAAGTAGCAGAAAGTAAGCTCGTCTTAACATCACAATCCGTTAATTGAACAAAAACAAAGGGAGAGAAGTTCGGTATTGGTCTGGTTGAAAGTTGACTAAGAGTGTTAATTTTAACAGCAGTATTAATACCAGCAGAAGAAGTGAAATGAGTATTTAGAGAATCTAAGTTAATATTAGGAGCACCAGAGTCCTCCCTAGATTTTCCAATACCGAGCGATCTTAGAAATTTCCAGACTTTTGGAGAGTCTTCAATACTAGATGTGTTTATTAGATTATTGTAAATTTTATTCATAAGAACACCAAGTACTGCGATACCGTTACAGGGTTCATGTAACGTACTTTATAACATGTATAACCATCTGATATTTGAAACTTTTTCTAAGACGAAAATGGCAATTATTTAACCTCCGTGGCCGAGTGGTTTGTACGCCGGGTTTCATGGTGTCGCCGACTCGAGAGGTCCCGGGTTCGAATCCCGGTGGGGGCAGATGTTTGTGTGATGAATACGAGCATTTGTACTCCAGTCATGGATGTTTAATATGTATTTCTATATAAATATACTTATATATGTACAGTGTATGTATTCTATCCGTTACCCTAGTATCCCATAACACAAGCCTTATAGTGCTTACTTTGGGGCTAGGCTAATTGGTGTGAGTGTTGGAAATATTTATTTATTTAATTATAGAGCATGATAGACTGTTGTGGTTATTCTGTGATTGGGCAAATATTTGTGTTGCGTAGTAAATTCCGTATGTAGAAATTGTAATAAAAAAACTGTTTACTGTTTAGCGCATGATGATGAGGCCATCTTTAATTACAGTCATATTATATCCTAATACTTAAGCATATGTGTAAGTTTGTTTGTATTAATATAGCTGTGTTGATGGTCCATAAATAAATAAAATAAAATAAATAAATGGCGCGCATTTCCACGTGGCGTAGCGCCACGGTTAGTGGTAAAAATTAGAATTACATCTTTCGACTGCTTTTTATTTTTTTTAGTATTAAATCGAGACAAGCGTGTAGGATCAAAAAAGCTTCCGAAGAGATAAGAAAAATGCGGTAACAATTTTACCGCACGGGTTTTTTTTAATTTGCTTAAATTAGCTCTGTTGTAAGGCATTTAATTTTAAACTTTCGAACAATATATACAATTTACCCCGTAAATGCATGTTTTTTAGCAAATGTGTTGAAATAATAAATTGTTAATTTATAGTACAAATTAAATAAGGAAATTAGTGAATACAAAAAATTAAGAGGGAACACGTCAGAACAAGAACGAAACCATAGAACTGAGTGATGCTGTGATTATAATTTTTATTTTTTAAGCAAAATCTAAACAAGCGATAGCATAATGGTCAGTGCATTCGCCCGGATAGCGAAGGGTGCGGGTTCGAGTCCCGTCTGCTGCTAGAAGAGCTCGATGGCGCCAGTGCTTAGCGCGTTCGGCTGCGGTCGTTGACGTTAAGCAACTTTCGCAGTGGTCGGTCATTGGATGGGTGACCAAAAATTTACTATCTCTCGCTTCTCCGTGCTTTGGAATGCACGTTACGTCGTTGGTCCCGGCTGCATCTGCAGTCGTTAGCACCCACCAATCCGCACTGGGCCCGCGTGGTGGGTCATGGCCCGCACTTCCTATTCCATCCATAGGGAAGGCCTGTGCCTCAGCAGTGGGGACATTAATAGGCTGATGATGATGATGACTGCTGCCTGGTCCGCGTGAATTTTTTTCTAAGAATATTTTCTTTAATCCTATTATGATGTTTGAACGTTCACTCCCTTAGACAATTAACGAAAAGATTTCCAAACAAAGTTACTACTAAAACTGGTAAATTGACTGGGGCGGGCTTATGAGGGCTACCATTTTCTGTCTCACACAGATGGCGCCACTGTTGAGTGAGGTCCTGAAGTGTAGCTTTCAAAGTTCGTTATCATTATCATCAGCCTATTAATTAATATCCCCACTGCTGGGGCACTGGCCTTTTTTATGACCGGAATAGTTAGATTGGGCCATGGCCCACCACGCGGGCCCAGTGCGGATTGGTGGGTGCTAACGACTGCAGATGCAGCCGAGATCAACAGCTTAACGTGCCTACCGAAGCACGGAGGAATAAGAGATAGAAGATTTCCGGTCACCCATCTCATGACCGACCATTGCGAAAATTGCTTAACGTCAACGACCGCAGCCGAACACGCTAACCACTTGCACCATCGAGCTCTTCTAGCAGCGGACGGGACTCGAACCCGCACCCTTCGCTATCCGGGCGAATGCACTGACCATTATGCTATCGCTTGCCATCGCCACGCCATCCAGCTCCTCATCTTACATGGTTACATCACCAGTCACAAATGTCAGAACGAGCCTATTATTGAGTGGCGAGTACAAGTGTTAACTATTGTAGTTGAACTGTATGACAACTCACCCCGATGACGAAGATCATGATCCTTAGGGGCAGCAGGAACATGTACCGCACGATGAAACCCATCGCCCAGATTATGGTCAGCCGCCACGTCAGGAACTCGTATTGTCTGCTCACAATATAAATAATAATGATAATATTTGTTCCTTAGGTTTTCACGCACATCACTCATTAAATAAAACTAGTTTTAACGGGCGAATGCACTGACCATTATGCTACCACGGCCCCATTAGCCGCGTCGAAATTTTCCCAGCCTTAAGCTGCAAGGCAGCGCCATCTCTTCGCATTGTAGGTAACCCACGATGTCAAATGAATACTAATAATGTATAATAATGGGTTCGAGTCCCGTCCGCTGACTGATCCGCGTGGATTTTTTTCTAGTAAACTTTTCTTTAGATTTAAACATCTAACAGTTAAATGCTTAAAAAATAAATAAAATCATAGTTTTAACGGGTTAATGCACGAAACTTTATTTATTTATTGACGTTTCGTAGCCTTTACAGGCTACGTCGTCGGAATCAATTTTTATTTAATTTTGTCGAGCTACCTTCGAAAGACTTTAATTGAGCGTTCGGATATTTCATTGGGCGATTTTTAAAGTTTTATTGTCTTATATGAATTTAGTATTTAATTTAGTTAATAAAGTACTTTATTTAAAAATCTTTTTTGTAATTTTGAATTTATTTATTTGACCCTAACTTACTTACCCTAACTTTACGGTAATTTGGGTCAAATAAATATAACTATAATTGCTTTCTCTTCAAATAAAACTAGTTTTCACGGGTTAATGCACGAAACTTTATTTATTTATTGACGTTTCGTAGCCTGACGAATGTCATTTCTGACGACGAAGCCTGTAAAGGTTACGAAACGTCAATAAATAAATAAAGTTTACCCGTAAAAACTAGTTTTATTTAATGAGTGATGTGCGTGAAAACCTAAGAAACAAATATGCTTTCTCTTCTTTCAAATGTTTCATACCTGTAAATGTATTTATTTGACATCGTGGGTTACCTACAATGCGAAGGGATGGCGCTGCCTTGCAGCTTAAGGCCAAAAAAATTTCGACACGGCCGTCAGGGCCGCGGTAGCATAATGGTCAGTGCATTCGCCCGGATAGCGAAGGGTGCGGGTTCGAGTCCCGTCTGCTGCCTGGTCCGCGTGGACACATTTGAAGAAAAGTTTACTACAAAAAAATCCACATGACGTGGATTTTTTTCTAGTAAACTTTTCTTCAAATGTTGTGCTTAAAACGAGTTACTAGGCACATAATAGGTAGTTGAGTTCCGGGAAAAGACAAGGGTAATTTTTATCTTAAATCATCTTTAAAATGGTGAAAGGGAATTAGAAGTTTGCATGGGAAAATTCACGAGAACTTACTATTTTGTAATTTTTCTATAGATTTTGTAAACGTAACAAAATATGTCTTTATATTTTTATTGTTTAATCGTTCATCTATTTTTTTCAAGTAAATTTTTTTTAAAATATGTCTGAATTATTTCTTAGTATGTAAAGATAAGTATTTTGAGCGCACCTGTTAGTCCTAGTGAGCAAGTTCCAGCTCCGCAACTCCTCAGCCTCGAACACCGAAGTGACCTGATCCTCGATGATGGACTCCATGCCCGCCTTCACCAGGTCCAGGCAGTGCGACAGGTTGAACTCCAGGCTCACCTGGTGCCCCACCAGGGGGAGAAACGATCATTAATAACGATAAACCGACGGTAATGATAAATAATGATAATTATAAACGATGATTTAATGATATGATAAACGCTGGTAATGATAAATGATAGTAATGATTGGCGTAGTTTCTCTTCTGTCACAAGTACTTGTAACAGCCTACACTAAATAAATGTTTTTTTTTATATGAATAGTGGTAACAATAAACGATGGACTCTATGCCGGCTTTGACCAGGTCCAGGCGGTGAGACAGGTTGGTACTCCAGGCTTAACTGGTAAAGGGAAAGAAACTTTTGACGACCTCCGTGGCCGAGTGGTTTGAACGCCGGGTTTCATGGTGTCGCCGACTCGAGAGGTCCCGGGTTCAAATCCCGGTGGGGGAGGATGTTTGTGTGATGAATTCAGAGCATTTGTACTCCAGTCATGGATGTTTAATATGTATTTCTGTATAAATATACTTATATATGTACAGTATATGTATTCTATCCGTTACCCTAGCATCCCATAATATAAGCCTTAGGTATAGTGCTTAGTTTGGGGCTAGGCTAATTGGTGTATTTTTTTTTTAAAAAAAACTACAAGTTAAACGATGATCATGATAAATTACGATAATGATAATGATGGATAAAAATATGCAAGTTTTGTGGGGCAAAATTTTTTTGGCTTTTAGGTATTAAGATTTTTATATATTATGCTCTATGAGCGTAGAGCGTATTTTGCTCTACACAATAAAAATCAACATTTAACAAAATGCTCAACACAAAACATTAAGCCCACACATATTTCTTTTGCATCAACAATGTTTTTTGTTTCCGAATCTAATGGAAAATCATTTTTTGACAATTCGCTAGCTTGTGCTCCGTTCCAAATCTACGCTCCAAGTACAACTTTTCACTCTGACTTAAAATTAACAAATATTGACAAATTTGACATTGGATGCACCTGGATCGTAGTTTTAGAACAATACCCTTAGCACGAACCATTATCGAATTCGTATAGTTTGTAAATCGAAATGTCAATGTCAAATTTTGTATGTAAACTTGAACAGCAGCGGCACAAAGTACGTAACGAGAACTAAAAATCAGTACACATTTGACAATGACATTTCCGACTCGCAAACGATTCGAATTCGATATTGGTTCGTGCTAGGGTGCTACTGAAGTAGACGGCGCGTGTAGAGAAACATGTTTCCGAAACAAAGTTTTGTGTTTGTGTTTTTGTTGAATGTTTTCAATAAACTTTTGCTGGTGACTCGGTTTTAGATCATAAAAGCCAATGTGAGCTCACCCTCTCCTCGGGGCTTTTGTGTCCGTTCTGCACTCGCTCCTGGCTGCTGCTGCGCTTGTAGTTCAGCTCCGGGGACGGTCCCAGGATCTCTTCCCGTTCGATCACCGTCATCTTGGTCGAGCCTGGTGTTGGGAAATTACATTTCAATGAAAACTAACTTTGGGTGGGTTCAGACATTCGGTCTGCGATCGTGGATGTTCAGCAACTTTCGCGAAGGCAAGTCAATGGATGGGCGATTAAAATGTCACTCACTGGCACCGTTGACCACCATAACCTAAACCCCTACCCCATGAAGCCCTTTTTTTATACGCAGGCAAAAAATACTGTTTAGGGGCCGTTCATAAAATACGTTCGCATACAGGGGGGGGGGGGGGTCTTGCTAAGTGTGACAAGATGTGACAAGGGGGGACGGGGGGTCTACGGCAACGTGACGTTCGTCGTTCACTAAAATTTTTTTAAATTAGTATTTCTTTCAACTATTTTTTTTCTTTCTTTCTCAATTTTCATCAAGATAGAAAATCATTTATTTCGTATTTAGTAAACATATATACATTCAAACGTTATATACAATTCAAACATATATACACACATCAAAAGTGTCTAGGGATCAAGCATTTTTATGCGGATTTCTTGAGATTGAGATGTGGCTTTGTAATAAATTTATGATTTTATAAATTTATATGGATCCTTTTTGGTGCATTTCATAATTTGAATCAGGAACTGTGAATCAAATTCGAGTAAAAGATGAAAATCAGCTGTCAATATTTTCCCTATAAAAACATACAACGCATTGAATACATTATTAGTGCTACTGTTTCCCTACTACTGATTAAAACCAACGTTATTATGGAGCGGCGACGTCATTTAAGCAGGGAAGAAATGCTCAGAGCCGTGGGAATGATAGAAGCTGGTTCCCGGCAACGTACTGTGGCTTTAGCTCTGAATACAAGTCAGAGTGTTATCAGTCGACTTTGGACACGATACCGAAGCACTGGTACCGTGGCTGAGCGCCATGGAGGACGGTATCGCTGCACCACACGGAGACAAGACCGATACATTCAAATCTTAACTCGAAGAGCTCCAACAATAACCGCCATGATGTTAGCCGTGAGGCTTCATCACTCTTCAGGGAACTTAATTAGCGACCAAACAGTCAGAAACCGCTTGCATGAAGTGAACCTTCATTCCCGAAGACCGCTACGGGTACCACCTATAGCAATGCACAATCGTAGGATTCGATATCAATGGGCTCTTGAACACAGAAATTGGGCAGAAGAACAATGGCGTTTCGTGTGCTTTTCTGATGAGTCTCGTTTTGGTATGAGACCGGATACAAGACGTATACGACACTGGAGAACCCCTGGACGCCAACAGCGATTAAAATCCTGCCAGGAAGTCCATCCTTATAGTGGTGGAACCATCATGGTATGGGCGGGTATTTGGATCGGCGGAAGAACTGAGTTGATTTGGATCAGAGGCAACCTCAACGCTCAAATTTATGCTGAGACGATTGTATCAGACGTCATCGTTCCTCTACAAGTGCAAATCGGTCCCTTATTTCAGTTAATGCATGATAATGCACGACCGCACACCGCAAGAGTTGTAAGACAGACTCTCGCCGCAGCTAACATCAATGTCCTGCCCTGGCCTGCTCAGTCGCCAGACTTGAACCCGATTGAGCATGCATGGGATATGCTACAGAGAAGAGCTCTGCCGAATATGGAGGGTATCCAGTCGCAAGAAGACCTTTTTTTGTTGTTGCAACGAACATGGGCGGCCATTCCACAGCGTGATTTGGATGAACTCATTTTGAGTATGCCAAACCGATGTTCTTGTGTTGTTAGTGTTCGCGGTAGAAATACGGATTATTAATTGTTTAAGTTACCCAATAAAATTTTAGAGAAAACTGTTATTTCAGTCTTTTTTCGAACTTTTGTGTTAGTGGTTCAAATGTCAAAAATCCCTTTATTAGGAAAATGGCAAATTTCTTTATTAATGCAAAGGTGACTTGGTTTATCGTTACTGTGACAAACGAAAACACTTTATTTGATGAATCCTTAAAGAAAATTTTAATTAATATCAATCAGGAGAAAAGTTATTGCAAAAATATATGTTGATCCCTAGACACTTTTATGTGTGTAGTTTTATTATACAATAAATTGTAACTTGATATATTTACTCATGTTTATTTTTCGACATTAGCGCATATTTATATATTTAAATTTTATTATAAAAACTAAATAAATATTTAAATACTTAAAATTTGTGTACTATCAATTGAAATTAATCATACTTGGGGAGGGGGGGGGGGGGGGAGTCTCCGTTTTTATGACGGAATATTTCAAGAGGGGTCACAGAAAGTGTGACACAGCTTGACGTGGGGGGGAGGGGGTCGGAAAAAGCTGATTTTAGCGTGACGAATTTTATGAACGGCCCCTTACAGACGACTGCGCCTTTAAGAGGCACACCGCCGAACGGACCTCACACCTGGCTCCCGCAAACCTTACAAGCCCCAGCAGTGGTTACCCACTGAGGATCCCGTAACTCTTACGGGCGCTTTACGGCATAATATACGCTAAAAAACCCTGCGAATACCCTCTAAGCTGTAAAGCGCGAAGCCGCAGGATCCCCGTTTAGGGATTCTTCCGCGTACCCCGTGAACCTTACTCATTGACAGAGACACAACATTGCCAAAGGATACTGAGGAGCTCGATGTCGCAGGTGGTTAGCGCGTTCGGCTGCGATCGTTGAAGTTAAGCAACGGCAGTGGCCGGTCATTGGATGGGTGACCAAAAATATTGTATCTCGAGTTCCTCCGTGCTTCGGAATGCACCGGCTGCATCTGCAGTCGTTAGCACCGGCCAATCCGCACTGAGCCCGCGTGGTGGGTCATGGCCCAATCTCCCTATTCCATCCATAGGAAAGGCATGTGCCCCAGCAGTGGGTACATTGATAGGCTGATGATGATGAATGTTACTTTACTGTAATGTTTACTAAGGTGGAAATTACTTCCCCAGACGGGCGCTCCAGTTCGGATAATCCGCTATGCTCTACCTCGCTTCTTACTTCGGAAGGCACGTTAAGCCGTTGGTCCCGGCTGCATCTGCAGTCGAGAGCACCAAACGATCCGCACTAACCTCGTATGAAGGGGCACGACCCAATATCCCTGTTCCATCCATAGGGAGGGCCTGTGTTCCTCCAGCGGTGACGGAGTTTTAAGGCTGATGTTGATATAACACCTCACAAACAAGAGAGGTGCCACACGGGCGTTGTCTCTGCGTTGTGTCAGCGCCGGTCGACTGAGCGGCGACGCTCCGTCGACCGTCGATCTACATACAAATATAAAGGACATGCCACACGGTGCGTTGAAAGGCTGACGGTGGCTTGTCATAAGGTACGGTGGCTCGACATCAGGCACGTTGGTATTATTTCACAATGATCATAGAACTCCAGAACCTGGTCTATACTGACCGTTGCTGCCGTTCTCCTTGATGATGGCTGACGGTGGCTCGTCATCAGGCACGGAGGTATTATTTCACTATGATCATAGATATTTTTTTCTAGTAAAATTTTCGTTAGATTTAAACATCTTTACGGAGACACAAATACTTCCGCCTGCTGACACAGGCTACCTTAATTATCCCGGCTACGTGCTTGAAGAGTCCTTCAAAGCGAAAGCCGGTGTATGCCTGTATGTTCGGGCGGATGTTTGTTGTCGCCGTCTCCGCTGCTTGGAAGATCCCTCCTTCTCCATGCTGGGGGTACACGTCGACTCTGGCCCCCTGGCCAGAGTTTACGTGTGTCTCTACAGATCCCACACCGGCGATGTTGAGACAACTCGACTTTTTGAACACCTTAGTCGGGCAGCAGATGACGCGCAGGAACAATTTCCCAATGCAGAATTGGTGTTTTTGGGGGACTTTAATGCTCACCACAATTTGTGGTTAAGTTCCTCCAAAACTGACCATGCAGGGATCTCTGCTCACGCATTCGCTCTCACGCATGACTTGAAGCAACTGGTTGATCAGCCCACCAGGATCCCAGATATTCCAAGTCAAGCGCCTTCTTTACTGGACCTTCTGCTCACGACCCATCCACAGGGCTATCAGGTTGTGGTAAGAGCCCCCTTGGGCTCGTCAGACCACTGCCTGATATCTGCCAAAGCACCACAGGCCAAGCCTCCGCGTCCAGCAGTGGTCAAGCGCCGTATCTGGCATTATGGGTCGGCAGATTGGGACGGTATGCGTGACTACTTTGCGTCCGTCCCTTGGAAGCAGCGCTGCTTCAGTGACAGGGACCTATCGGCCAGTGCCGTTGCCATTACTGAGGAGGTTATAATGGGTATGGAATACTATATTCCTCATTCTGATCTCATCAGTAAGGGCACGCGTAACCTCTGGTTCAATCACGACTGTGCTGAAGCTGCTTCGCGTAAGCAAGCGGCATATCGTGCTTGGATCAGAGGTCGCGCTCTCAAGGATCCCGAGGTCGATTCACTCAAAGCAGCCTACAATTTTGCTTCCAAGGCCTTTAGGAAGGCTTACATTAGAGCGGATGCCCAGCGCGTTGCACGTGTTGGCCAGGAACTTATGACGCATCCTACGGGTTCCCGTAGCTACTGGCGTCTGGCCAAGGCCGTGCAAAAAAACTTCTGCGAGCCCTCGCTGCCACCTCTGAGATGCCCAGACGGAACACTAGCCCATAAGCCGCAGGAGAAAGCAGATTTACTGGCAAAACTCTTTGCGGCTAACTCCCGAATCGATGATTGCAATGCACTGCCACCATCATTACCTCACTGTGGCACAAGGATGCCTGATATTAAAATCAGGCAGCGCGAGGTTCGTGCCGAATTGCAATCACTCGACGTCCGGAAAGCTAGTGGACCTGATGGCATCCCAGCAGTAGTACTCAAAAAATGTGCAGCGGAGTTGTCTCCCGTGCTCACGCGCTTGTACCAATGCTCGTATTCTTTGGGGCGTGTGCCGGAGACTTGGAGAGATGCCAATGTGCAACCAGTGCCCAAAAAAGGGGATCGCTCAGACCCGGCAAACTACCGGCCAATAGCAGTCACCTCAGTTTTATGTAAAGTTTTAGAAAAGGTCCTTAATAACCATCTGACCCGCTACCTAGAGGATCACTCCTTGATTAATGATCGTCAATATGGTTTTAGACCGAAACGATCGACGGGTGATCTTCTAGCGTACTTAACTCATATCTGGGGTGAGGCTATCGACAAGCGTGGCGAGTCGTTGGCTATCAGCCTTGACATTGCCAAGGCGTTTGACAGGGTCTGGCACAAAAGCCTTCTCTCCAAGCTTCCGGCATACGGTCTGCCAGCCCAGTTCTGTTCTTGGGTAGCTGACTTCCTGCATGAGCGTAGAATTCGTGTCCTTACGGATGGTAGCAGTTCCCGGTTCATGTCAGTGAATGCCGGCGTTCCCCAGGGCTCCGTCCTATCCCCCACTCTCTTTCTGCTGCATATCAATGACTTAATTCCTCTTGGGAATATTCATTGCTATGCAGACGATAGTACAGTGCATGCGGGGTATCTCGGACAAGCAGCGGCTGGGCTGGCGGTAACCAAGGAGAAACGCGAGAATCTTGTCATTGAACTCAATCAGGCTTTGGACCACATTTCCGAATGGGGTACCAGGAACTTGGTTGAGTTCAATGCCAAAAAAACTCAGGCTTGCGCCTTCACGGCAAAAACATCGTCATTCCTTCCCCTTCCATCTCTTCAGGGCACAACACTACCGCTGCAGAGCAACATTTCCATGCTCGGTATGGAAGTTCGCTCAGACCTGAATCCAAAGAACTACATCGAAACCATGATCAAAACAGCTTCACGCAAACTCGGAGTCCTGAACAAGGTGCGGCGTTTTTTCACGCCCGATCAACTGTGCTTGTTGTACAAAACGCAAGTGCGGTCCTGCGTGGAATATTGCTCGCACCTCTGGGATGGCTCCGCCAAGTACTTGCTCGATGCTTTGGATAGGTTACAGCGACGCGCGATCCGCATCATAGGCGATGAGGAGGTGACTAAACACCTTGAGCCTCTTCAATTACGCCGTGACGTGGCGTCACTAAGCGCGTTCTATCGTCTGTACCACGGCGAGCGTTCTGAGGAGTTATTCTCTCTTATCCCACCTTCTCCTTTCCTTCAGAGGACCACGCGCGCTGGCCTACGTTGTCATCGTCTAACTGTGGCCACAATTCCAACGCGTACAAAGAAATTTGGTGACTCATTTCTTTGTCGCACTATCCGTAAATGGAATGCTCTGCCCGCTCACGTGTTCCCTCCCTCTTACAACCTGGGATCCTTTAAAAGAGGCGTGAAGAAGCAACATGCAGGCCGGCAGGGTGAAGATGGCTGGTGTGGCAGGTAAAACTGCTGTATCAGCTATCGTCACGTCTGGACTTCGCCTTCACTTAACATCAGGTGGGGTGGAGTCATTTGTCGGACCTATCTATAAAAAAAAAAAAAAAAAAAAAATCTAGCAGTTAAATGCTTAAAAAATTAATAAAATCATAACTATAATTGCTATTTCTTCTTTCAAATGTTTAATACTTGAAAAAGTATTCATTTGACATTGTGGGTTACCTACAATGCGAAGAGATGGCGCTGCCTTGCAGCTTAAGGCTAGGAAAATTTCGACGCGGCTAATAGGGCCGTGGTAGCATAATGGTCAGTGCATTCGCCCGGATAGCGAAGGATGCGGGTTCGAGTCCCGTCCGCTGCCTGGTCCGCGTGGATTTTTTTCTAGTAAACTTTTCGTTAGATTTAAACATCTAGCAGTTAAATGCTTAAAAATAAATAAAGTCATGATCATAGAACTCCAGAACCTGGTCTATACTGACCGTTGCTGCCATTCTCCTTGATGATGGCTGACGGTGGCTCATCATCAGGCACGGAGGTATTATTTCACTATGATCATAGAACTCCAGAACCTGGTCTATACTGACCGTTGCTGCCGTTCTTCTTGATGATGGCTGACGGTGGCTTGTCGTCAGGCACGGAGGTATTATTTCACTATGATCATAGAACTCCAGAACCTGGTCTATACTGACCGTTGCTGCCGTTCTCCTTGATGATGGCTGACGGTGGCTCGTCATCAGGCACGGAGGTATTATTTCACTATGATCATAGAACTCCAGAACCTGGTCTATACTGACCGTTGCTGCCATTCTCCTTGATGATGGCTGACGGTGGCTCGTCATCAGGCACGGAGGTATTATTTCACTATGATCATAGAACTCCAGAACCTGGTCTATACTGACCGTTGCTGCCGTTCTCCTTGATGATGGCTGACGGTGGCTCGTCATCAGGCACGGAGGTATTATTTCACTATGATCATAGAACTCCAGAACCTGGTCTATACTGACCGTTGCTGCCATTCTCCTTGATGATGGCTGACGGTGGCTCGTCATCAGGCACGGAGGTATTATTTCACTATGATCATAGAACTCCAGAACCTGGTCTATACTGACCGTTGCTGCCATTCTCCTTGATGATGGCTGACGGTGGCTCGTCATCAGGCACGGAGTTATTATTTCACTATGATCATAGAACTCCAGAACCTGGTCTATACTGACCGTTGCTGCCGTTCTCCTTGATGATGGCTGACGGTGGCTCGTCATCAGGCACGGAGGTATTATTTCACTATGATCATAGAACTCCAGAACCTGGTCTATACTGACCGTTGCTGCCGTTCTCCTTGATGATGGCTGACGGTGGCTCGTCATCAGGCACGGAGGTATTATTTCACTATGATCATAGAACTCCAGAACCTGGTCTATACTGACCGTTGCTGCCATTCTCCTTGATGATGGCTGACGGTGGCTCGTCATCAGGCACGGAGTTATTATTTCACTATGATCATAGAACTCCAGAACCTGGTCTATACTGACCGTTGCTGCCGTTCTCCTTGATGATGGCTGACGGTGGCTCGTCATCAGGCACGGAGGTATTATTTCACTATGATCATAGAACTCCAGAACCTGGTCTATACTGACCGTTGCTGCCGTTCTCCTTGATGATGGCTGACGGTGGCTCGTCATCAGGCACGGAGGTATTATTTCACTATGATCATAGAACTCCAGAACCTGGTCTATACTGACCGTTGCTGCCGTTCTCCTTGATGATGGCTGACGGTGGCTTGTCGTCAGGCACGGGTGGCTCCTCCTCCTCGTCGGAGCTGTCGCTGCGGTGCACCTTCTTGGCGACCTCGATGTGTTGGCGGCCATACTAGAAATAATATACAAAAAAAACATAAGGACTCACTCACCTTATTAGCACAAAAAAAATAGTGTGCACGGTGCAGAACTCTTAACTGATTTTTTTTTATTAAATAACCTAACAGCGGCGCATATGGCATAGGGGAATAGAGTCGGATGGATTTTTTATGAAAAAAATATCCATTTAAAATCATATTAACTACATGTGTGTGCGTGTGTGTGGATATATATATACACATGGGTGAGCTTGTGTATGTGTGTTTGCTTTCAAAAAGATCAAGATTATGAATAATAATTTCTCTACCCAATAGGTAGGCGAGAGCTAAGCAAGGATTTTCCAAAACGCACCCCCTACAGGGGTAAAACGGGGTTAATAAGCAAATATCCTGCTTCAGGCTTTTTCAAAAATCAACCCTTTAAATTAAAGGGTTAATCGGTGTAACAAAGTCTAAAAAACAATACGACATTTTTCTATTAATTGTATCTGATTCTATTTTATTCAATTTCTAATGTTCTGAATCTATAATAAAAGACTATTTGACATATTTTAAAAATGAATATTGTGTTTTATCGTATTGACATGCTAATTAACTATAAATTAAATTTGTATTTGCATGCTAGACTTATATGGCAATGCATGTGCACTTTATTAATTTTGTACCAACTGATATTACTGTATGCAAATAAATTATTATTATTATTAGTAGATTGATGTTGCCCAATAAGCGTACTCAATCTATACTTATAATAAATCTGTAGAGAGGTCAATTCTGTACATGAAATATATTTTCAAAATAACTATCAGGGGGTGATTAGTGGTCGATACTGATGCCAAAAATGCAATCAGTAAAATTTTTGTCTGTCTGTCTGTCTGTCTGTGTGTATGTTCCTTATAGAAACAAAAATTACTCGACGGATGTTAACGAAACTTGGTAGAATTATTCTTCATACTCCTGGGCAGGTTATAGTATACTTTTCATCACGCTACAATCAATAGCAGCAGAGTAGTGAAGGGAAATGTTGGGAAAACGGGAGAAGTTACTGCAGCCTTAATGGTTAAAGTTACATAGAAATCATGTATGACGGAAATATTCTACATAAAATTGTATAAAAAATATCCCGCAACAGCATATATCTATCTTTTATGGTTGACTCACAATAACACGTGTAATTATATAAATAAAGTCATTGTTTATAGCACAAGCCTGAGAACAAAAACTATAGTTTACACTACAGCTCTACACCGAAGCGAAGCGAGGGCGGGCCACTAGTATTACAATAAGAACTGCTATCCGAATTGTATAAAAATCTATAATTAGATACCACGCTTGATAACAGAGCTTAGTTTGTCTTTATTTAAAAGGAAGCTTAAAATGTGGCTAATAACGAAATGTTTTTACTCAGTTCGAGAATATTTAGAAACGAAAATTGACTTAGAATAGAATAAGTAAAATGACATAAGTACCTTTAAATTTTAGAATCAAATTAAGTTTGACATTCACATGCCCTGTCGTTGGCAAAATGGACGAACTAAATGAAAATCACCACCTAAATGTATCTACTCATATAGATATTAGCGGGATTGTTACCATGTACCTTGTTTTTTATGAGTCTCCGATATTTCGGCACTGTAACGTAACCAACCAGTAAAAGTAACCAGTTACTCCGTGATCATGGCGCTTGCAACAGTGCCGAAATATCGGAGACTCATAAAAAACAAGGTACATGGTAACAATCCCGTTAATATCTATAATGTTAGTGACCATGAAAGTTTAAAACAATGTATCTACTCTGTTTTGTGTGAATAAATAAACTTCAATAAATTTTTATTTAATTTCATTAAAAAATATCAATATAGTTTTTAGGATTTCTGATTTTTAAACTTAAGGCAAGTTCCGGTCATAAGATAGCCCGACTATAACCTTTTTATGGTAACCAAATCTGTTCTGAAATAATGCATTCTTTGCATTCGGAATTCATTTTAGTACGTTTTTTTTCCTCAAATCAACGCCGATAGGCGAGACTCAACTTGTTATAAAAATAAATACTTGCACGATTCATTTTGTAAATTATATATTATTTATAAGTAGGTTAAAGTAATTTGTATCAAAAACAACACGTTTCTATACTCCCATACAAACGATTCGTAATAATACTGGAAGTCAATTTGACCTTTAATACCATACCATAAATTTCAGATGTAAGTGGAGAGGTTCCGGGAAGGCAAAACAATTGAGTGACGTGATGTCAATAGAAGTTTGGAAAAGGCAAATATACCATTTTCAGTTTTTTTATAATTATATAAAGTCATTTTATATTGTTTTAAACTTTCATGGTCACTAACATTATAGTAATATAAGTTATTTACGGGATTGTTACCAGCGCCTGGCGCATTGGCACTGTTGCAAGCGCCATGATCACGGAGTAACTGAAGTAATTGCGAGTAGGCTGTTATTGGCAGACATATCGGTCTACCCTCCGACGAAACTCGCTAAAAACAAGGTACATGGTAACAATCCCGTAAATAACTTATATTACTATAAAGTCATTTTAGTCTACACCAGAGCTCTACACTGAAGCGAAGCGAGGGCGGGCCACTAGTTTGATAATATAATCTTGCACGATAGGCTATTTAACAGAATAAAAAATAAGTACCAATAGGGTATTACAACCATTTTTGAAAATTGCCTCAATTAAGTGCAGAAAAAACATAAGTTATTGTCTGCAATCCTTAAAATGCATTTTTCAACATTTTCAAATTTCGCGCGTACTTAAACGAAAAGGCTGGACGCAGTGGACGCCATATTGGTCTGCGGTCTTGACGTCATTAATCCTGTAAATAAATGCGTTACCTTGGTAACGAAAACTATTAAAGTACCGAGTTGACAGCTGGCACTTAGGCATATACTAGCGGTGTGGCGTAATAATGTGACGGCTACTACGTTTATTAAAACAGATAAAAAAGATTTAAAACTTGGAAATGAAGATTAAAATGCATCTTGTTATTTTATGAACTGAAACTAACATTTTTCGACTCCTCTATGCCTAAACTATCGTAGTAAATACATATACATTTATGATTTTTTCTCAAGCACAGTTAAATTACCTATTGTAGGCACTATTATGAGAGAATCAATAATTAGGTAATAGATTTAAAAAAATATATATATGATTTGACCGAAAACGACAGAGATCGGCGAAGACTAAACTTCCGGTGGAAGTGACACCATAGTTTATCGTTTGACGTTATAATGACAGTCGTGTGACGTCACATACCAGTAATGGAAAATTTGATCTAGTTTTTATGACGAATATCTACATTTTATGAACTCCATAAACATTAATAAATTAATTAAGTAGTATCATAAATTGCAGTGTCAATAATTTTTAATCACTCGATAACATTTATCTTGAGATTAAATAAACACGCTGGCCGGATAAACTATGAATTGTAAACAACATGTCGTCGGTTTAAAGTCTAAACATGTTGATAAACACCAACTTGAGGGCACAAACGGGTTAAAAAGCAACCTTGAGTAAGGAACGGTTCCTATTGCATTTAACCTGATTTTAACTATTTATATACATAAGTATATTTATATAAAAACTAGCTAATCCAGCGAACTTCGTACCGCCATAAAAACAGGGGCTGGTGGTAGAAGGATGAAAATTTAGAGTTGTATAGTAATATATTTTTATTTATTTATTTATTTCAGGAAAACAACAGCATTGTCTTATTTCTAGGTACATTTGTAATATTTTATTAAACTAATGCCAATAACAGTATTCCTGGTAACATATCCATTTGTGTAACATTTTTGTGTTTATCTATATAGTTCATTCAAAGATTTTTGCAACAATAGTTTCATTTCTATCTTTATGTTAATTAATTAAGATATCCCACGACATGTTTATAAAACAACATGAATACAATGTTTATATTATCATATAACGAAGCAATAAAATATACATAAGTACGAACCCCATACGTGTCTCATTATTTAGCCAAATATGCTTAATCAATACAATGCACTTTCCCCGGTCATTAGTTAGGAGCTTTACAATGGATTGCTTAAAAGTACGTTTTGTCCCTATAAAAGGATCAGCAGTACTAAAATGTTTATTATAGTTATTGGATAATCGTGTGAGTGGCGTATTTTGAGCATAACTAGTGGAGTGAGAGGGAGTGTGGAAAAGAGAAGTGTGCCTGGTGCGACGAGATGGCACTCGAAGTGCCAACTTTTCCAAAAGTTCAGGACAGTCAATTGCCCACGGAAACCCATATCTAATACATGGCGAATTTTAATGTCACATCATAAAAAGAAAATGTCCAAATTATTAAAATAAAATGTTAGGGGTGTTAGGCTAGTGATAAGAATCACTCAGGGGTATGAAAAATAGATAGTAGCCGATTCTCAGACTTACTGAATATGCATATAAAGTTTTAAAATTATATTGGTCAAACCGTTTCAATTCAATTCAATTCATTTATTTTATCAGACAATAATACAGTCCATTTTGTTAGCAACATTTGCCCTTACAACTATATTAGTAAAAGTATTCAAAAGTATTAATATTAAGAATCAATTCCTTCTATAATAGCTACTGTTTACATAATTGCATTTCATAAGATGAGATTTCATAAGATGTTACATAAAAATAAAATAAAATAAAATAAAATATGTCAAAACAAAATAAAATGTCAACATAAAAAATAGTCAATGGTAAAATTGAAGATATTAAATTTATTTTGTATTAATTATGATCTAGTTCTATTACATTTTATTCTTTTGATGATGCAAGTCAGTAAACCTATTAAAAAGTGATGAATCCAGCCGTTCAGCAATCAAACCTAAGACTCCATTACTACTCCCCCGAACTCTTTGCATTAATGAGGTGGTTTTCTTGCGGATAATAGCATAAAAGTCATCTGTGTGTGCGTCCATAAACATGCCTGATGCACTGCAGTATCGTGGGAGGTGCAACAGAGTCCTAAAGATATTATTATAT